TGGAGAGGCACCTGAGTGAGCATTTATCTCAAGTGTTGCCAGATCCTGATACAAAGTCACTGGGTGGCCAGGAGCAAAGGAGGATGGGATGCATCTGTACCTGGAGATGCCAATTTTCTGGTGGGGGGAAGGAAGAGGGAAGACTTGGCCTGTTCCAGTGCATTTTGAATAGCACTGTTATCTGCAGAAATTAGTAGGCATAGTATTTCATTGCACAGAAATAAGCATGGTTGGTTGATTAGATTAAACACTGCTTTTTGTGGGGTACCTTTATCAACATTATTAGCAGCCCTAAAGTGGGGTAGCAGGGTGTTACATCAAAGCATATACAAAGCAAACAAATAAATAAATAAATAAGAGGAAAACATGGTGACACACCAATATGAATAAAGGCATCAATATTTCCCAGGCTGGCATGGGTGGTGAACGTTGAGCATCTAAAGTCTGAAGCATAGGAAATAATGTCCCACCAGATGACATAGATGTTAGAATATAGTTCCGTTCCACCTTAAAAGAGTCAGGCATGATTGTTGTGTGTCACATGCCTGTTTACTCCCAGCACTGTTCTCGCTGGGAACTTCTGTTTTGTATATAGCTTTTGTTTCTGGCTGTTTTCCTGGATATGAAAAACATGTTTTTCCTTTGTCATGTTTTTCCTTTGTTCTGATCTACGTTGAATAAAGCTGTAAATATTGCTCTCCTGTCTCAATCTTCCATTGTGGAGACTGCTGAAAAGGGTGTGCACGAGTCTTGAAATGTCTCTGAGGCTCGTGTCGCTAATTGCCTGATGCTGTTCTATGGGAGACCGGTGATTGTCTGGAGGCAACTTGGAGGCCTGCCTGATGCCTCCGTCTCCCTGGCAGTATCCGAACAACAGGTTTCGGGCCCATGGCACTTACAGGAGGGTAAGACTGCTGAAGACTGCAAGAGGTATGTGGAAAAGGGAGGCTTTTCTGATGCCACGGCAGAGACTTTGAAGTCCAAGCTAACTAATTAGCCTGGCAGAGAAGAGAAGGCAGGCCTCATTGATTTACGAGCTGCTAAAGATAAGGCCTGTTGTCTTTGTCCATGGAGTTTTCTTGGCAGGGATACTGGAGTGGCTTGCCGGTTTCTCCTCCAGGTGGATCACGTTTGGTCAAAACTCTCCACTATGACCTGTTCATATTGGGTGCCCTGCTTGGCATAGTTCATAGCTTCTCTGAGTTCTTCAAGCCCCTTCGCCACGGCAAGGCAGTGATCCATGAAGGGGTATTGATGCTTTTGAATTATGGTGCTGGAGGAGACTCTTGAGAGTCCCATGGACTGCAAGAAGATCAAACCTATCCATTCTGAAGGAAATCAGCCCTGAGTGCTCACTGGAAGGACAGATCGTGAAGCTGAGGCTCCAATACTTTGGCCACCTCATGAGAAGAGAAGACTCCCTGGAAAAGACCCTGATGTTGGGAAAGATGGAGGGCACAAGGAGAAGGGGACGACAGAGGACGAGATGGTTGGATAGTGTCTTCGAAGCTACAAACATGAGTCTGACCAAACTGCGGGAGGCAGTGGAAGACAGAAGTGCCTGGCATGCTCTGGTCCATGGGGTCACGAAGAGTCGGACACAACTAAACGACTAAACAACAACAAAAGATAAGGCTGATTGTAAAAGGGAAACCAGCTCATGGCTGAAGTTAAGAGCTGAAATGGATCTTTTACAAGCCTCAGTTGGGGCTCCGTGCCCAAAGTTTAATTGCCACAACTATCAGACCTGGGCAAGGTACTGCAAGGGCCAGATGAGAAGGCTTGGTGTGTGGCATACTGTTTCTGAGGACCCCCCAGCGCCTCTGACAGATGAATGGGTGGAACAGGATTCAAGAGCCATGGGAATAATTTTGCTCTCAGTAGCTCCTGAAGAGTTAATCACCCTGGCTGGCAAGGCCAGCTCCCGTGAGATGTGGGAAGGGCTTCAGGCCTGTCATCTCCGACAAGAGGCTGGGTCTGTGTTGCTTTACTTCAGAAAGCTACACAGGAAGCGTTTGGAGCCAGGGGAAGACCTTAGAGCCCACGTTTTGCATTTGCAGCATCTCAGACAGGAATTGACTCATAGAGGTTTTAATATGCCTGAGTCTCTGTTTGCAATCCTTAACCTGGACTCCCTGCATGAGAGCTATCATGCTGTGGCAAGCCAGCTGGTGACTCTTCCTGCGCAGGACCTCACTGCTACAAAAGTTTTGGCGACCTTGCAAAACGAATATGATAGGAGGAATGCAGCTGAGTCAGCTTGTGTGCTTCAGGAGGAGCAGTGTGGGACAGCATTCCAGCCTCCAGGGGGAGCCAAGGCGTTGGCAGCTGTGAAGTGCTGGAACTGTGGGAACCAAGGTCATCTTCAGAGATTTTGCCCGAAGGCTGGAACTAAACAGAAGAAGAAGCCTGCAGATGGCCAGAAGCAGAAGGGGGGTGGGAAGCCCAGGCCAGTGAAAAACAAGGCTTTGTTTGCTGGCACTGCTTCTCCAAAGGCCAAAGGCAAGTTTGTTGTTGATTCTGGAGCGACAAGGCACATTACGAAGGATTCGCACTTGTTTATTTCCTTCACGCCTCAAGATGGAGAGATCCAACAGGCTGATGGTAAGACGTTGAGAGTTGCAGGAGTCAGGACAGTGAAACTGGCAAGTCTGCATACAACCATCAGCGAAGTAGTTTTTGTTCCAGATTCTGCAGACAGTTTGCTCAGTGTCCCACAGCTGACTGGGCGAGGCTTTGAGATTTCCTTCAAGAAGAGCGTCTGTGTCATCAGGAAAGGCAAAGAGGACATTTTGCATGCGAAGTTTATAGATGGCTTGTTCTTGATAACTTATGATGACATTGCTGTAGATGTGTCTAATGTTGAATCTTGTTGTGTTGCACAAACTAACAAAGTTCTTCATGCAGGGTGTATTCATGAGGCGCACCGAAAATTTGGTCACATGTCTCGGCAGGCACTGGCCGGTTCAGGGTTTGAACATTAAGCCCTGTAAGTTTCACATGAAATGTGTATCTTGTGCAGAGAACAAGGTGAAGGATGCTCCAAAAGGCAAGGTGTCTAGCAGACAGGCTTCCAAACCCTACCAGCTAGTCCACGCAGACCTGGTTGGTCCACTTGCTCCCTCTTTGGGTGAAGCAAGGTACTTCATGGTTTTAATTGATTCTTTTTCCAGGTACATTCATGTGTTTATGCTCCAACAGAAGCATTTCCTAAGTTCAAGGCGTTCTGTGCTTGGTTGGAGAATGCTCACAGTAAACGCATTGGCTGTTTGTTTACTGATCGAGGCGGTGAATTCACTTCGCAGCAGTTTGAAGCTTTCCTGACTGAGAAGGGAATCCAGCATAGCCTCTCAACTCCTAGATCTCCATGGATGAATGGACTTTGTGAGCAAGCAAACCAAACTTTGCTGCAAGGCCTAAAAACCTTGTTGCATGATGCCAATCTCCCTGAAAAATATTGGGCGGAGTCTTTGAATAAAGGTAAAGGTAAAGGGACCCCTGACCATTAGGTTCAGTCGTGGCCGACTCTGGGGTTGCGGCGCTCATCTCGTTTTATTGGCCGAGGGAGCCAGCGTACAGCTTCCGGGTCATGTGGCCAGCAGGACTAAGCCACTTCTGGCGAACCAGAGCAGCGCACGGAAACACCGTTTACCTTCCCGCCGGAGCGGTACCTATTTATCTACTTGCACTTTGATGTACTTTCGAACTGCTAGGTTGGCAGGAGCAGGGACCGAGCAACGGGAGCTCACTCCGTCGTGGGGATTCGAACCGCCAACCTTCTGATCGGCAAGTCCTAGGCTCTGTGGTTTAACCCACAGCGCCACCTGTGTTCCAGTCTTTGAATACTTTTGTTTATTCCATAACAGGAGACTGTCATCACCTATTGGTTGTACTCCCTATGAGAAGATGTTTGGTAATAAACCTTACATCAAGCACATGAGAATCTTTGGTTCTGACATGTAGCTACACACCCCACAGTGCAGCAGGCTTAGGAAGCTTGGGGCACATGGTTTGTTCATGGGGTATGAAAAAGAATACAGGGTATTCATGACTGACTCTAAGTCCAATAGGTTCACAAAGAGTGTTGAGTACAGTCCTAAGTGGGGGGAAAATGTGGGAATTTTCCAGAGTCACTCAGAGGAGGATGAAGATGATGTGAAAGAAGCAGATGATGATGAGGTAGAAGAGGAAGCTGAGGATGATGATCAGAGTTCGGATTCCAGCTCAGTGGGCAGCGCTGTTGCTGTTGTCAGCGACAGTGATGACACAGCAGACTACAAGAGTGCAAAGGCCTCAATCAGACCATCTGATGTGTCTGACACTGAACTGGAAAAACCACTGTTCACCATTGGCCACTGTTCTCCTAAGAAAAGACTTGCGTCTAATACACAGATCTGAAAGGGCCACAAAAGGCAAACCTCCAAAGAGATTTGCTTATGAGTTTGCTAAGACAGCAACTGCTATTCTTAGTAGCTCAGAGAAGCTGTGGGAACCTTCAAGCTTCAAAGAGGTTCAGGAGTTAACCTCTAAAGATGCTGAGCCATCGCTAAATGCCATGAAGGCTGAAGTTGATTCCTTGGATAGGAACCAAACTTGGGAGCTAGTCCCAGTAGTCCTAGGAATGAGACTGGTTGGCAGCAAATGGGTCTTCAAGGCCAAGACAGACCAGACTGGCAAGGTTGTCAGACACAAAGCCAGATTGGTCGCCAGAGGTTTTTCACAGGTACCAGGACAGGATTACCACGAGACCTACTCACCCACCGTCAAGTATGAGAGCATTAGGCTAATGCTCAAGATAGCTGCAGAGGAGAAACTGCACGTTTCTCATCACTACGTGAACACAGCTTTTTTGTACGGGGTTTTGGGGGAGGAGCTGTATATGCTTCCACCTGATGGAGTGCAGATACAGAAGGGAATGGTCTGTAAACTACGGAAATCCTTATATGGTCTCAAGCAGAGTGCCAGGTGTTGGAACACGAAACTCACTGAGACATTGCTTTCTCTAGGTTTTCACCAAGGCAGAGCTGATCCATGTGTGTTTGTCAAGGAGGAGGGGCAAAACAAACTGTATTGTTTATGTTTAGTTGATGATCTTCTGTTTTGGAAGAATCAGGCTTTGTACCAAAGCACCCTAGCTCAGCTGAAGGAGCAGTTTGACATGAAGGATCTTGGTGAGGTTTCCAACTATCTTTCTCTGCAGGTGGAGAGGGACCAGGCAGGTAATTTTCTGGTACACCAAACACAGAAAATTTCTGATGTATTAACAAGGCTGAATTTGGTTGATGCAAACCCAGCAGTCACACCGATGGTGACAGGTTACCAGGTAGATAGTACTGCTGAAGCATTTTCTGACACCACACTGTACAGATGCATTCTAGGCAAGTTGAATTTCATTGCTAGATGTTCAAGACCTGACATAGCTGTAAGCACTAACTTGCTTAGCAGACATGCCAACAATCCTACTGTTCAGGATTGGAAAGCTCTGAAGCGCATAGCCTGCTATTTGAAAGGGACTTTGCACTACTGGCTGAGGTTCACCAGTCAGAAGATTGGAGGTCTTGAAATCTTTGCAGATGCTAGTTTTGGAAGTGACACCACGGATGGTACAAGCACTTCTGGAGTATGCTACATGTACAACCACTGTCTGTTTGACTGGCTGTGCAAAAAGCAAATGACAGTAAGCCTAAGTTCCTGTGAAGCAGAACTCAGTGCTCTGTCATTTTCACTCATGGATTGTGAATGGTTGATGCAACTGTTTCAGGACATCAGAGTTTCTGTGAAATGTCCTATACAGGTGTATCAAGACAATAGATCCTGTTTGGCTTTGCTGAACTCAGAGAGTCGCAAGCAAAGAACCAAATACTTGCAGATTAAGTTACATCGTGCAAGAGAGCGTATTCAGAAAGGATTCATTCAAGTGTCCTACATGCCAGGAAATGAAATTTCTGCTGATCTGTTGTCTAAGGTTGTTAACAGAGAACAACTTAAGGTTTATGTACAGAGGTTGCAATTGGGTTGAACCACAGGTACTACAGGTTACACGGAAAGGGGGAGGATGTTAGGATATAGTTCCGTTCCACCTTAAAAGAGTCAGGCATGATTGTTGTGTGTCACATGCCTGTTTACTCCCAGCACTGTTCTCGCTGGGAAGTTCTGTTTTGTATATAGCTTTTGTTTCTGGCTGTTTATATGGAAAACATGTTTTTCCTTTGTCATGTTTTTCCTTTGTTCTGATCTACATTGAATAAAGCTGTAAATATGCTCTCCTGTCTGAATCTTCCGTTGTGGAGACTGTTGAAAAGGGTGTGCACGAATCTTGAAATGTCTCTGAGGCTCGTGTCGCTAATTGCCTGATGCTGTTCTATGGGAGACCGGTGATCGTCTGGAGGCGACTTGGAGACCTGCCTGATGCCTCCGTCTCCCTGGCAGTATCCCAACAATAAACATGTTCTGGATCCTCTCATCACCCTTGAAACATGCAGTGTGTGTGTGTGTGTGTCCTGCCATCATAGCTAAAGTCTGTAAGTCTTATACCAGGGCTGTCGATCATGATTTACCAGTCGATTGCGGGATGCCCCTGGTCAATTGTGGTCAGTCGCTGGATCCTCCGCAACAACTTTGGCTTCCCTAAAGGCTCAACAACTCTGGTCAATCGAGTGGGTAGATCACTGCCAGTTTTTTTGTGTGGTGGTTGTAGATCACAGTCTCTTGGAAGTTGGACAGTCCTGTCTTATATCATACAATCAGATACACATTTTACAAGCTTTTCCATTGCAGGGTCATTGAAATCCTCTCTGCAGCTAACATCCATGTCAAAAGCTCTTCCTATCCTGCCTTTTGACTGGCACCCTCAAACTTGCAAAATACACATGTGCATTAAAGAATATATGAAAACACAAGGAAACAAAACATCATGAGCCCAGCTAGAGCAAGAGCAGAGGTCTGGGCCAACTTTGACTGCCTCCCTTTCCCTTGGAATCCTTCCCTCTGGGCAGTTGGTAGTGGGTGGTCCAGTGATGGTGGACGTGGGCTTTGCCTGCCCTTCTCACTCTCTCCTGCCACTTCTTCCAGGATATTTTCAATTCTTTGGCTTGATAACTGTATTGCAAAATTCAAAGAAGGGTGAGTTTCAAAGAAGAGCTTTGTAATGCTTCATGCACTGCAAGAGTGGGGAATCTCTGGCCATCCAGACATTGCTCTGTGATGGCCCCCATCACCCCTGACAATTGGCCTTGCTGGCTGGGGCTGAGGGCAGTTGATGGAGCCCAACATGTTCTGAAGCATCACAAGGCTGTATTGTTTGGGAAGTGAAAATCTGGTGAGCCTGCATTAAAATGTGACCCCATGAATTTTCTCCTCCATCCCTAGGCAGGAAGCCCATGCGGGGAGAGGGGCCACTGCGGCCTTCTTGCCTATAGAACCCAGGGCCAACGGTGTCCCCAAGCGCACCCGAGGCAGAAGTAGTGAAGGCTGGGTCGGGGAGCTCCAGCCCGCCATTAGCTTCTTTCCACTCAAGCTTTCTGTTTGTGCTGTGGTGGTATAACCCAGCCCTATCCATACTCATGGCCTTCTCGCTCTCTCTTTCTTTCAGTTAAGGGCAGTCAGAAATGCGAACTTAATTGTCGAGCAGTAGGTTATCGGTTCTACGTGAGACAAGCGGAGAAGGTCATTGACGGGACGCCGTGTGACCAAAATGCAACCTCTGTCTGCGTGTCTGGGCAGTGCAAGGTAGGGATGATGCCCACCTGGAGAGGGTTTCTTTTCTCTTTATGCGCCATTTCTACGTGCTGATTTCTCAAAATCAAAACTAAACTAAAAAGCCCACCAGCAAAGTATGTGCATGGGGAGGATGAATGTTTTGTTTTAAAATATATTGTTTGCCATGCCAGGGGACTTGTCACAGAGACAAAGACAACCTTTCCTCTTTATCTTTCTCCTCTCTCTCCATGTTTGTCCATATTCAGACAACCTTGCGCATCTTCTTGGGCTTTGTTTGTAGCATAGTTGGAAGTGTTGCATTTTCTTGTAGATTAAGGTTACCAGACGTCCCCATTTCCCTGGGACAGTCCACGGATTTACATATCAGTCCCCTGACAAAATCCATCTATTTAGTAGGAAGTTGAAAAGTGTCCCCGGATTCATTTGGGGGGGGGGGAATCTGGTAACCTTATTGTGGATGGCAGGTGTGTTTTTAAGGTCAGATTATTCACCAAGTGATCTCTTGATCTAAAGCCAAAGGCTGTTCTGATCCTGAGTGCCTGAAGCTCAACTGGGATCTTCACAATGTAGCTGCTTTGCCACTCTCTGGGTGTTTTTTTTGGAGAAGGGAGATGGGGACACAAATGCAGAGGACAGTATGGCAGTCATCTCACACTTGATAATCTGAGAGTAAGCACCATTGAAGTCCATGGAGCATCCTTCAGAGTGGACATTCATAGGATTGTAATGCAAACGTGTGAAAAACCTGCCTCCCCTCCAGCATCCACACCGGCCATTGAGATCAATGGATGAAGATCTCTGGATGGTGCCGCATGTGCCCCGGCAGCCAGGCGCTCTCAGGCATGTGCTTGCCACATTATGAGACATAATCTCCTCTCTTACAAGTGAAGCAAGTCCCAGTATGGTTATGTTCTTGACATTTGTTGAAAGGTTTCCTTTTCCCCAAGCCGTCCTGAATTATTATTATTTTTTATTTTTTGTTTTAATTTAAATTATTTAATAAAAATTATATGCCCCTTGGTTGTTAAAAAAGCTAACAGAAGCCCTCAAAAGAATAAAACGGTGAAATTATCCATAAAAATATGGATAACTATGTGAAACTTTCAAAAAATAATTAAAATCAACTATAAGCTGAAACTCATTAAAACAAAAGTCAACATTCTATTTTTATTTATTATATTTATTTATTTATTTATTTGTATTATGCTTTATATTCTGTTTTTGACCATGAATCTTAAATCAGTTTATAACATCTGAAATGAATGAATGAACAAATAGTGGGGAAGACAAACTTATGGCCCTACAGATATGGCTGGACTACAACTCCCATCCTCTCTGGCCATGGCTGTGCTGCCTATGGCTGATGGGGGTTGGAGTCTTGAAGGTCACAGGGTCGTCATCCATGATGCATAGGACTCCACTGGGAGACCAAGGAGGACGGGCAAGAGCTGTTTCAGACATCTCTCTCTTACAGGAACCTCATCCATGGAGATCCCACCCCCCCGCCCCCCTCAGCCACATCTCTCCATCAACAACGTTCTTAGTGCCACCATACTATAATAGCTAGAACAATATTTATGTATCTTGTGGCAGCTTAATATTATTCATGCTATTTGCCTGCAGAAAGTCAGGTTTTGCCTGACTTATGTGCCATAAGTAGTTTGGATGACTTGCTTTTCACCTGCTGGAAGCTGTCTTTATGACATTGGTCTTAAGACACTTTTTCTTCCTGCTACTTACTTGTCATTATATTGTTTTAATGTCATTGTCCTGAGCTACCTTGAGCCTTGCTGAGGAAAGGAGGGCAACAAATGCTTTGAAGGAATGAATGGCCAGGAGGGACCATGGCTCAGCGGTACAGCCCCTGCAGGAGGCCCCTGGCAGCATCTTCATTTGAAACGGGATCTAGAAGCAGTGAGGGGAAGCCTCTTTCCCTGCCTGAGATCCTGCAGAGCTGTTGCCCGTCAGAGCGGACAATGCTAGACTGTATGGACCAGTTTTCTGGCCTGGTATCTGGCAGCTTCCTGTGTTCTTCTTGTTCATCAGCTAATGCTCTCTCTCTGCGCATGACAGTGGGAATCTCTTTTAGGCAGGTTCTGATCAAAACAGGAGAGTGATGAGATTAAAAATTAAAGGAGCTGTCATGTAAGAATGTACAGATTACTGCTAGTTGATTAGCCGAACTTGTACTTCCATTCAAATGACCTAATGTTCAATAATAAAATTGGCCTGTAACTAATCTGTATTCCAGAGTGTTTAGAACTTCATAGCAACTAAATTAATTTGCCTCCCTGCACTCTCCTTTGAACGCTGATGTCAGTAATCCTTTGAATATTTCGCTGGATATTCTCCAGTTACTTGACATTTTGAGAAATCCTGATGTCAATATTTGATATTATTTGCCAGGATTTGATAGCTGGAATGCAATGGATCTGACAGCATGGTATTTAATATTTGACTATATTTTGTATCCAACAGCATTTCACAGATGACGCGTAGTGGCTGTTATTTGCCAGCTGATATGTTCTTGCATTTTATGCCTGCCAAAACAATTAATCAGTTGTTGGTTACACTTTCCTTAGCAGGAGAACCTTATTGTAAAATACAGGAGAAGTGCGGCTGTGCTTCAGCTCACATATTGTTTCAGAAAGTGGATTGGTAGGTTTGTATTGAATTCCTCCTCCAGCCTCAGATTCACCAGAGAGAGAGAGCCAGTTTCAAAAAAAAAGAGAAAGAAGCACCCTCTTTCTTGTTTTAGCTGTTTCTTTTGCTTAGTGCTTTCACATCTAGGATCCCTTTTTTTATTTACAAAGCATTACAATATCAAGTGATGCACTGATGCATAATACGCTTTAATCTTTCATTGATGTTTTAATGCACATTACTGCTTTGTGATGGGTCTTGGTAGGAGAACACCTGCATTGACTCCAGAAGGTCCCGGATTCAATCCCTGGTCACTCCAATTAAAAGGATTATATGAAATGATGTATTTCTAAAAGTAGGAAGGAAATAAGCACAATGGTGGAAACATTTGCAGCCAGCATCATAATCTCACTTAGCTTGAATTGCTGCAAAAACGGAAGGAATGGGAACTAGAATGGTAGCTAAAGGGGGTGAGGGCTAGCCTGGTATTTTGCCCTGGAAGAAGCCTCCAGAGGGGCGCCACTGAGGCTCCCAGCCTGTGTGTGTGTGTACACAAATGCACGGGGTGTGTGTGTGCCAAACTGGGTCTTTGAGCCGGGTGAAATAAAGCCTAGTTCTGCCTATGTGGGAACTGTGTCTTGGGTTACTCTTTCTGCTAAAATTCTTCTTCTCTATACCTTTTTTTTTTTAAACATAGTGATAGTCCATCTCCTTTTTCTTGTATCTTCACTTGCAAGCAGGGTGATGATGATGAATTATTCAACCCCTCCCCCTGCTTTCAGCAATTCAAAGAGGTAAGGTGAGAATGTCCATTGCACAATTAGGCTATGAAAGGAGCCATGTGTATTTAGAGTTGTCCAGTGCCACTTACAGCAGCCAGCCCTTCCTATCGAGTTCTGCAGGATCTCCTTTTTTTATTGTGCTTTCACTGTGGCTCATGGATAATTGTGTCTCATGCCTTGTACAATGTCCTGCACCATAATCCTTTTAGAAAGCTCAGTTGGATTGTGGGATGGTGCCATGACAAGCCTCTTTTTGTTCTTCTTTTACAGCTGGCAATGCCATTCCTTTCTTGACATAATCATTGAGACTTTCTTTCCCGTTCCAAACCTGTTAGCAAAGCCTCTTAATGTTAACAGAAGGGAGGTGGATGATTCAGGCAACAGCCTTGAACCTTGTGCATAGGAAAGGGCGAATGTGCCAACCTCTTGGTCTCCCAGTTACTGCTCAGAATGTTTCTCCTAACATTCATGTTAGGAGTACAATGCATTCTTATAGGTTACTTTCACAAAGATATGTACTGTTAGGTGTTATTTTCACCAAATATATGAATTTTCATGCACAATTTCCCCTAATGTTTATGGGCAGGGATCCCGAGGGTCATCTAGCCCAACCCCCTGAAATGCAGTAATCACAACTAAAGCATCCCTGGCAGATGACCATCCAACCTCTGCTTAAAAACCTCCAAGGAAGAAGAGTCCACCACCTTCCGAGGGAGTCCATTCCCCTCTCATCACCAGAAGATTCTTCCTAAACTTTAGCTGGAATCTTCTTTCTTGCCATTTGAATCCATTGGTTTGGATTCTACCCTGTCCTTATCAAAATAGCATTTGTGAGGGTGCCAGATACACTGTGGAAATGCAAAATAATTTAAAAAGGAATGAGCTAAGCAAATGCTTCTTTTTATAGGGTAGTGGCAGAATGGGTGGTAAGTAGATCAGCTTTCGGTTTACCTGTCGGAGGCACCATGCAGGTGTGACTGAGCAAGAGCTGCCACCCCTGAGGGCCTGGACATTTTCAGCAGAGTGATTAAAGTTTCTCTGTTGGAACAAAAGCTGTTCGGCTATGCAGGAAGCAGCTTCAGAACGGGGTTGAAAGCTGCAAGACGCAGCTGTCAAGATATCTCTGCTGCTAAGCCATGTGCAAGGGCTGGCCCAATAAATTGTTGCACCTGAGGCAAACCAAGGGAGGAAGGGGTGAGTGAAGATCCACACCAGGAACAAGGGGATAAAGATTCACATCGGGAACAAGGGTAGGAGGAGACCAGCTTTGGCTCCTATCTGCCAAGAGACTGCTGTGGAGGAGGCATTTGGGCGGGGGGTGGCTGCTGAGGAGCGCCAGATGGATCCTGCTGCCTGAGATGGTTACCTCACCTTGTCTCATAGGTTGGCCAGCCCTGGGCTGTCCCAAGTGTTTCCTTGGGCCCCAGGACTCCCCAGTGCCAGGATGGAATGGCACAGGGTGCTCACATTGACTACATGACATAATGGGGGAACCTGGAGAGTATAAAGACCAAGCAGTGAGATTCATTCAGCACATAGTAGAACTAGAGAACTCGTTCCCACAGGAAGCAGTGATGGCCACTTCCTTGGATGACTTTAAAATAGTAGACAAATTCATGCAGGAGAGGGCTATTGAGGGCTGCTAACCTTATT